GATATATTTAATATTAAATATAATTTTATATTATATAATAATTATAATTTATAAGTAATAAAAAAGATTTTATTAATTATATTAAAGAATTCAATATATTTTAATATAAATTTCTTAATTATTTTTTATTTATTAATAATATTATTAATATTATAAGTAAAAAAAACTTGATTTTTAATTAAAAATTTTTTATATCTTTTATATTAATTTATATATTTTATTTATTTATCTTATACTTCTAATAATAAATTTTTAACTATTTTTATTATATTATTTTAATATTTTATAAATTCTTGAGAGATTATAATATTGTTATGATAAATTGATAAGTGAGTTTTTACTTGAATTCATCTTAACAATATAAGATTAAGAGAGACTGAAATAATTAAAGAATAAAGAGAGGAAAATTAGACTATATTTCAATAATAATAAAGATTTCTAAGATCTATGTCAATATCTATGGATATTATTTTAAAAAGTATAAAATAAATAATAAAGAAAGAAATAAATCAAGTAAATTATAAAGATTAATTGAGTGAAGACCTTTGATGGTTGAATACATATAAAAGACATACATTATAAAAGTTAAGGTATATGGAATTTATTCAAAAAAAAATGAGAGATTTGATAAACAGTCACTTGGGTGAGACACAAAATGCTGCAAATGAAGAGTAAATTTATAGGAAGGATGCTATTTTCATTCCTCCCTTTAAGATATCTGATATGGTGAGTCATCTAATCGCTAAGACGGAAGAATTGTGAGTTCGAGTTATTACTCAAAATGAGGTTTATTTGCAGTTGGCGTGATAGAATCTTGATTCTCTTCTGAGAATCATGCAATCGTTTAATATTATATCTGATTTAACAAAATATTGTATTGCTGTCGCTATGTATTGTATATTATGTTTACGCACAAATTCGCTCTTAGGGATAATAAATTCTTTATGACGGAACAGGATTTACAGTTTTTGAAGTAGCATTGACACTCGTTTGAATTTCTAGCAGTTTCTTAATTAGCTAAATAGAAAGTTGATTTTTTACCTCTACACCAAATAAAGTATCGAAATTAAAATTCTTTTTTTTAGTTAATACTGTACTGTTTGAACCATTCCCAATCAAAAACCTGCTGGCACTAAGATTCTTTATATTATCTTCTGTGTACATGGATTGAATTGTTAACTGTCAAATCTTGATCTGAGAATCTCATATACAAATCTCAGTGGTTACATTCGTCCCCTTCTATAGTCACCCACTATATAATCACAACATAGTTATAATCACATTCTTAGGTCCCTTTTACAAATCATTATAGTAAAAAACCATCTATATAGTCAAAAATCTCTATAATCACTATATCATGAAATTTCATTATGATCCCGACCCCGTATACAGTATTCGTTTATATTGTACAAATATTGTGATGAAGGAAGTAAAGATATCTCGGTTTCTAGTCACACCATTTTGATTATCAAAATTTTGAAGATCGACTAACGTACGGTGACTTTTAAGCGCGATATCTCATCACGTAGTGATCAGAATCATACAAAGAATCGAATGGATCATTGGATGATGAGATATGGTATAGATAAATGGATTGTTATGATTTTATTTTAGTGGCCACATTGCAAATATATGATATGATAGTTTTTTTATTTTATAAAGTGAGTTAGATCCTGCAAATTAAAGAAATAGCATTTTCATAAACTTTAACTAATGAAAACTGTTGTTATATTTGTTATATTAAATTCTCGTTGTCTTTTGATTTCTTATATAAGTTAATTTGATGAATAGTTAAAAAATTAGTATACATATAATAATTACAAATGTAAAATATAATTGAAAATACTGTAGTTCTCCTAGATAAAACCTAAATTCACGATATTACATAATAAAGCTTTGCTTATATTAATGAACCATATGTGTCAATTGGGTGCGCGATATACTAGGTAAATCAATACCTTAGTTTTTATTTAATTAAAATTTTTCATTCAATTGATTATATGTACCGAATGCAATAGAAACTATAAAAATTATTTTAGAATTTCTAATAATTTATCTAATAATTTACTACACCATTTCTATAAAACTGGTTACGCTTTTTTAGATGCACAAGTCGCATAGTTTTTGGCCAAAAAATTTTCACACCAATCGATTCTTGCTATATTTACAAGGTCATGAGATTTTTTATATCATTATGAGGAATTAACTTTCTTTTTAATCTTGTTTTTCATTATTATTACTTGCTCACTGGGACAAATCTTTGATCAATTGGTAAATTTTTTTTCAAATTAAATGTAAATTTGGCTTCGTAATTTTCGTGGCTCTTTATAACTTAATATTAATCTGGTTTTAAAATAATTGGTTTTTAAAGTCTGCACATCTAATTAAAGATTCGAACTTGTGATTTGAGGATTTATTATACTTTCTAATTGATTGTTAGAAATAAATTTCGACGATGTTTATCCAGTGTTTTACACCAATGATGCGAAATACATGTATAATCTTTTCATAAGATACCGCATCCTATTGTGTCATGTGTAGCTGCATTAAAAAATATAACGATAGATTCCACCTCTATAAATAAATGCTAATTATTTTCCTCTCTATAAATGTAAACTCTATCTTGTTTTTTGGAGAGGTGTCACTGCACTGTGCTGCAATGAACATGTACGTAGTAAGAAAAATCTTTGTGCCGGAGAATAAAATATTTTACATAAACAAATAATAGTCTCTCTATCTCAGAGAAACTTCATATATATGTATTACATGATGGTATTATTCTTCTTGTTTTCATATTCTAAAAATATCTGTAAGAACAATGAAAAAGTGAATATCAATGAATCTAATTTTAACTTGTAATACCCCGATTTGGCTATATTGTTACACATGCAAAATCGGGCGTTATGTGAAACTAAAAAAAATGGTTTTGGTGTATGATCTCCTGTTACTATACAATTAAGTTTGTTAAATTAAACAAAATACAACCAATGAGTGAGTATTAAATCCTAAATTTAAGTTTTATTTTTTTGATATCATCTATCATTTTTTTTATATATCCATATTAGTTAAAAATCATAGTGAAAGCATATGATATAAATAAAATGATATTGTATATAATCTCACTTCTTTTTGTTTATCCTTTTTGAACGAGATTTTTTGGTTTTGATAATTATTTAAATTTGTAATGTTTTTATAGAGATAGACTTTTTGATTTCGAAAAGTTAAAAATATTATACTGTATATATGATTAATATACGTACATACATGAAAGAATTCATAATGATCACTAATTTATTAATACTAATACCACAATTATTTTCTCGTTCACAACGAAAACTTCACCACCCTTTAAAAAACTCATTTTCTACAAGAACGCTATCCATTTTATTGATAATAACAACAACAATAACGATATTCCTCCCACAAACGAATGCAAATTACGTAATCGGCACACCATATACTGAACGAGAAGACAACTTAGTAATATGGGACACGATAACATACCCAACAACCGGTGACGTTCTCACGCGTCTCGTAAAACTCATAGCTCCTTCTTCGAACACCACGAATAATACATGCGTCGATTCAACAATGCGTTTTCGCCTTATTTCCGCACAAAATTCTTCGGTGACACCAATCGAATTCACGTTCTCTGATATTCAGGATATCAATTTCTGCTATCATTGGATCCGGTTGTTCCCGTTAAGCGGTCCATATTTTATGGTGTCTTATTTCAAGCAATTGAATGATTCGTCTTCATCGCCACCGAGAACTGTGTATCAAGAGAGAGCGTTGGTGGTTGATTGGTCTGCTAAAATTACTGCGTGAGTTTACTTTCTACTAAAATTACTATTTATCGGGAATTTTGAAAAAAATTAATTTAATTTATATCGTTTCTATTAAAGTGAGATTATATTTGGAAATGTCACAGTGAATAGCATTAACGATGTCAGGAGTGGATTTGGTGCGGTGAACATTAATCCTGACAATGGGTTTATATGGTCTAATTTCTATGAGGGTTCACCCACTCTTAGCTGGGCGCATTTTACTTCACCGTAAGTAATTATCAAATGATTTTACTTGAGAACTTGTTTATTAATTATCAGTTATTCTTACACAGAATAAAAAAAGATATTTTTGGACAGATCAGTAATGGAACTGGCAATATTCCAGTGTCTTGGACTAATCCGAGTGTGAAAGTTTTTCCGACCCCTGATGAAGGGTAAGTTTTTTCTTTTTTTAGCTCGAAGTGTACGTCATAGCGTGAAATATTAATAGTACATGCCACACCATCATAGTTATGGATTTTTAATAACAGGTGCAAGCACAGCAAACGATACTAGCCTACAATGGCACTCCAAAGTATATTTTCTAACCCCAGAACCGAACGTATTGCAAATTTCCGACCAATTCATCGCCTACAACTATGATCAACCCGCAACCAATATGCTTCCAATTGATTGTACCATGGGAAGTGATGATATGATATTCACATGCGCGCTAGAAATAAGCAGCACCAACGGCACTTCATACGAACTTGTATCATTCTCACAAATTCAACAACAAGAAAATCCCAACAATCAATCATTAAAGATTGACACGAACGTATTGAACGTGCACAAACTGAAACAGTTCTCATCAGGTGGCATTTTTGTCGCGGCGACTTTTAAGAATAATAATTCGATAACCGGTCAAATTTATAAAGACGGGGTGTATAATTTTACCTGGGATTATGATCAAGTGAAATATGCTAACCCGTTAGTTTCTGGCCTTTTTCCGAACAATTCGGTGTATTTGTTGGTTTCCGCTGGAAATGATACGAATGCGCCAGCATCTAATTATACCGTGGTCAAAAGTTGGAATTTGGTTACCATTAATCTCAAAGGCATATCAGAAGAAAGTAAGTGTAATAATTTTTCAGGACGAGCCAAATGAATGAATTAACTAATTAATTGATTCGTTCAAAAAGGTGCTCCAGGATTCAACAATCCAAACATCAAAGAAGCAAACCCTGGTTACAACGCCAATATCCTGCTAGGACTCGGACAAATATCAATAACATTTAAAAATCCAGTCACATTATCGACCGGTAACCTATCGATCTATCAAGTGCTCGACAGAGATAGTCCATATAATGCATTACGACAAACATATCCCACCAAAGACTACGCGAATCTTTCATCTGATAATTTCAGAGTCACATTTCCGGTGTTGGATAGTACGTTTAATCATTACCATCAAACGTATCGTATTGTGATTGACAATAACTTTGCAAGATCGGTTTCTTTTAATTCTTCGTTGATGGGTGTTTCTGACTGGATTGTTAATACAGGTATTTGTTTTTTTTATATTTTATTCTTGCACAAATGTATGAATTTCCTATTAAATACTATTTTTTTTGGGTTAATGTAGTGCGTAGTATTAATAATTCATCTTCAGGTAATTCTTATAATTGGATTAATTTTCGATTCCTGCAATTAAATAAACTAAAATTAAAAAATCAACAATTTAGGGAGCGTTAATTGCATAATCCGCCTAACCAGCCACAGCACTGCGCAATTCAAATTATTATCATCTGATCTCCAAAACCAATTCGTCACCTCACTTGTCAAAGATCTCGAATCAATTGTCCCAATACCCGATGGACGTCTCTACGCGCCCGGCAAATTCCAATACGATCCAGACACCGATCACCAAAATCTATTAATAGCCGTCACGGTCAAGTCACCTACGAATAATAATGATGATATGAGTGTGTCAAGCGTGATCTCGAGTTTAAATACGCTGATAAGAAATAAGTGGATTACAGCCGTTTCGCAGAATGAAAACACTTCGAAGTTAGATGACGCTTTTGGATTCGAAATTAAACGTATGCAATTATTTTATTGCACATTTAGTTAACATTACTGGTTAATCGCTCACTTTTCTTATTAACTTGGATTTGTAGCTAATTGCCTTAAAGACCATGAAAAAGTTTTACTTTTTATCGCGGGCGGTTTGTTTTTGGTCGCTCTACTTTCCATATTCACACGTTACATAAATCCAAAAGTAATTTCTTTGTTCTTTACCGCATTAATCGATTCTTTATTATGATCAATAATTAACGCGCGCGTTTTGATAATCATTCATTTTTTCAGGGAAGCTCATCATACAGTCTATTTAAAGTTGTAATTTACTTTTTCGACTGCTTGATGGACTTCTTATTCATATTCAAGCATAGCGAAGATATTTCTTCTCTGTACATACCAAGGTACATTACATTATTCGATATGCAAATTGACATTATTTCATTCTTTCACTGCGCAAACTAATCTCTAAAGATGTCATCGAATAAAAACAGTTTGATCTGCCTCTTCTTACCAATAGCATTTAATTGCTTCATGTCGGCATTCATACAATTCCGCGAGGGGATCACCAACAAAAAATACAAATTGTGGTACCGCAATAATATCGTCGTCGCCTCGTTCTTCGGCGTGACTTCCGCAATGAATGTGGACGTGTTGACGATCACCTATTCGCAGCTATTGGATATTAATGCGTTCAAGGCGCCATGTTCGCCTGATATGGGAAAAATGATTTTTTATACGAATTGTGTTAATTTGTTAATACAGGATTTGGCGCAGTTCGTTATTCTGGTTAGTTTTTTCATCCCGTGTGTATTTATGGTAACATTCGATTTGATGATTGATCTTGATGTTTTTCATCCTCGCAGGTTTTA